CGGTGGCTCATGGCAGCTCAAGCCAGCTGCCGACCAGCTCCATTGCAGCCTACGCCGACGCCAGTGACCCAGCTCCAGGTCAAACTGTTGTTCACCGTCTTAGCTGTAGAGGGCGCAGCATCACTGGCCCTCATGTGGGATCTGAACCAGGGCCCTGCTGCTCAAAGCTGGCATCCCAGGCCAACCCTTAATCAATGCGCCACTCAGATGGCCCTTCTAGATAAATTTTTTTAATTCTTTTACTTATGCTTATGAGTTAAAAGTGTAACTCTAGAAATCAATAACGTTATCTGTATGCAAAATAATACTCTGGAATGGGATCATGGTTTTGTTGAACTTAGGACAAACTTGAAACAACAAAGAGTTCTTGGCCTTCTAGGATGGGTAAATATGGTAAATTTGTTACAGGTATGTAGAATTTCTTGTACTTTGTATCTGTTCTTGTGTTTTGTAATTATTTGTTACATAAAATTTCTCATACCATAATATGTTAAAAGCTAAATGCTAAAATTCCTTTATTAATACAAAAAACAAGTACCTAAATGTAAATAAATAAAAACTTGAATTAAAACAAATGATTTTTTCCCTGAAAGTTCAGGCCAAAAATGTGGGTGTGCATTACACATGGAAGCACATTATATACGGCAAAATACGGTAATTCTAAATTAGATTACTAAAAAGAAGGATAAAAGTAAACATGATGGTTATAGTTCACTATGTAATTACTGAAAGACTTGATGACCCGTGGTTTCTAAGAATCTGCCGCTGGCCATTGGCTCCTGGATACCCACCGGGCAAAGATGGTTGAGGAACTGGAGGGTAAAGCCCGTTCTTTTCACCACAGGCTGCAAACGCCTGCTCTGAAGCCATCTCTTTCCCACGGTCCCAGGCCTTTGTTTCCAGGGGAGCACCATGAACTACTCCCCAGGGCTGTTGGTGAGTAAGCTCCATCTCTCCACAGGTGTTGGCAAGAGCTGTAGCTGGCTTTTCTTTGGTTTCGCTTGACTTCTGATTGTTGAGAGTTTCTGTTTCTGGGTCTTTTACATACTCCTCCTCTTCAGAGGGAATCGCATGAGTCTGACTTATTGTTTTTTCTTCTGCTTGACTTTGGGGACTCTCAGCATCACTGTCTAGAACTTTCTGATTCCCTGCACCTCTCCTGAGACGACGATATTTCTGACCCCAGCTCTCTAGAAAGCGTGGACTAGGTGCCACCAGCATGGGGTTGCCCTGAACGTTTCTGAGGGAGTGTCGGTGCAAATGCAGCTCACTGGCAGGGCGCATGCTCCTGCTATGGCAAGAGGCTGGGCCAGCTGAGATACTGGGGCCATAGAGGAGTGGTAGCCCCAGGCCTGCGAGTCCCTTGGGATTCACTTTTTCTATTCTCCTTTGCTGGTAAATGGCATGCATTTCCATTTCCATCCTAAAAACAAAACAGTACATTTTATACAACCCAAGCAAACCATTACTAATATAATTTCAATGGCCCTCTGCTTTCCCTAAGATAGCACCTCTGTTTTACCTGTGAGTCTTCACACTAGTATCTGAAGTTTGTTGGGTAGAAATGCAAATCCCTCACAAAGCCACTGGGAAGAAGAGTTTGGGGTAAGATCTGAGGGTGAAGGGTATGGCTGACTCTCACAGTGGGAGTCCAAAGGCAGACTTTAGAGCCTTACCTCTGGCAAATTTAACAGGTTCACCTGTTAAATGTAAATACATTTTTATTATAAATTAATAATGCAGCACACGCTAGTTTCTTGCCAGAGAAAATCTTTGAGATTAACCCTCAAAGAAATTCAAGTTCTGGGAAGAGGGTTTTAAACCTTGCAGTACAATTTTAGTGGGACTCAAAAAAGTAGTAAGTCAATGCAAGTCTCAACTGGTACAAATGAGTGCAGATGGCAAGGGTGGGGGAGGGGGAACAGTGAGGACTTGTTTTTGCTTACTTTGCTTGTTGGTCATCCCCTGGGTGCTCAGGGTTTAGTAATGAGAAAAACTGCCTCTGATTCTTTCTCTTCCCCCCTCCAGGGATACCCTAGCATCACTGCTATCTTTTCTTTCTCCTGGTTGTTACAGTTAAAGGCTCCTGTTGGGTTGACATGGACCCTGATGGCATTGTCTGAAGTGGGGCTGGCAAGCTTGGCTCCCATGTTTGGGCAAAATTGAAGTCATTTAGGACAGAAATGCCAATATGAATTTCAGAGGAATCGTAGTTAGGCATTTTAATTATTAGATGTTGACAAACTATTACGGTCTATAAATTTAGCTGCACTATGTAATTTCTAATTTTGCTTTTATCCTTAACAAATTTGTGCATGTGTTTGTACATGTTTCTTTTTATAATATTCCTGAAATACTTTTGTACGTAATCAGAGCATATACATATACATATATACTCAGAGTATATACTCGTACTCGTATATATGCACAAATAAACAACATATACAAATACAACAACACACAAATATAATAAATGAATACATGTATATATAAAAGTACATATATATTTATATCTATCTACCTATCTATCTAAAACAAATGAATAAACAAACAAGCGAATGACTGGAAAATAAATTAAACATCACTGTTACATTACCTGGCAGTATGCTGCCTTCGAATCATTTCATTTCTCCTGGCCACTGCCTTTATGGATTCAGGTGGTAAAATGCCCCAACCTTAAAAAAGAAAACCACCATTCCACCCACAAACAAGTTAACAACGTCCATTTGAAAATAACAAAACAAAATATAATGATTTAAGACAGTATCTGCAAAACCACTGGTTGAGCACCATGTTAGAAACGGTATCAGATCTTTGCTGCTCAGCATCTTGAGTCAGTTTGGTAATGGCATGATAACACTAGATAATTTTTTGGTCTTATGACTGGTGACATTTCCTGACATATTTCAAAAGGAAAAAGATGAATTGTGGATCTCTTCGTCTCTTCCTTTTGAAGTAAAAATTGATAGCTTTTTTATTATTGTTGTAACAAGAGGAATGAGTTGACCTTTAAGAAAGAAATGTAACTAAGTGCTTCCTGATGCACTGAAATCCCTGGAAATAAATGCATGATATGTGGATGAGATATAAAGTTTTCTGTATGGACATTTTGGTATATCTGAGGCAAATACTTTTCCCAAATGATTTCAATGGAGTGGGCAGCAATTATATTCTTCGCTAATGTCAACCCTCTAAAATGTCTTGAAATAATGGCAACATCACCAGAATTCAAGGTTCTACATGTATTCTTGCCTGGAAACTTCATGCTATATTTATTTTTTATTTTTCTGCACTCCTAATGCACTTAGACT